ATCTTGCTGATAATGATAAGGGGTACGAAACATTCGGAAAGTGTCGATAACCTAATAACCATAAGGATAACGGTGAGCACAACATACTGATAATAAGAGCGCGAATCAACATAATTGACATGGAATATAGGATCCAGCATAGAATGTTTCGTTGAAATTTCACGGAAAAAAAACTCGAACAACTCCATAGTGAACAACAACTGGCCTCTTTTCGTGTCGTTTCCCAGGCACACTTAAAATATCCCACTCCACACTCGGATAATAATCACTCAAATCAATGCCCTCATCCACAATCCAAACGGTTTCCTCGTATTCCCCATCAATACCGAGCACTGTCTCCAATTCTTTCCGTTCTTTATGTGAATCTTTGTGCTTCAAATCCACTTCTAGACCACCGTAAGTCCACGATCCTTTAACATTTTCATGAACGCATCATTCATGACTACAGAAATTTCATTTCATTATCGTTGAAAATGCTGTTTTTCAATCAACTCATATGATGAACCTTTCCACTGCAAACTTATTATTCATAGTGNATGTGATATTCTGCATGTTTCTATACTTGTAAATTACACGTCAAAGGCAATCAGCGCTTTTAATGAAGAAGTTTATAAACAAATAACGATAACATCCCGTGTGCTTGTCATTATTACATCACTACTATCAACAGCAATCAATCACTCAATCAGTCAAATGATCTCGTTTACATTCGATGTTATCCGCTGAAATCACTTAACGTAACAATGCAAATCGCTGACTATGAGCACAATTGAGCAATCGCTCGCATAAGCTGAACCAGATTGGTTTTCAACTGATCATATCTGCTGCCTGGTCACTGATAATCAGCTATCAGCATCTTATCAATCCCTAACAAATGTGTAATGTGTGAGCGCAACTCTACCTTATCACCTGCTTGTGAACTAACACTCAGTTCATAGCAGAAGATATCTGTCCGTGACAATATCAGATGAAGTTAGATAAAAAGTTGGTAAACGGAATGAGTTTTCGAAAAATAAATGGATGTTAATGAAAAAAAGACGAACCGAATTTCATCTCGCA